TTCTAAGATCTTGTTCTCATATTAGTTTCATAGACTAACTTCTTTATCCACATTTATCTATAATGTGTAAATTCTTGTTTATTTGACATTACAACCGGATGTCGGTATAGCGGCCTTTGCTCACTTTTTTCTGTATTTATGTCATACAACGCATCGCTTCGAGAAGACGCCCTAATATTTACTCATGGATTTAAAAGATTCATGTCGTGATTTTTTGATAAATTTTATGTTGGTTATGGACTACTTAAAGCAACTGTCCACCTCTTGCATCCGGGGCTTGGGCCAAGTTGACATAATTCCAAAAAAAGTTAGATGGCCGGGCCAAGTTGGCATAATTCCATTAATGTGAGTCAACAGTTGTTGCAAAGATCGCTTTTCCTCAAAAGGAAAATGTAGTAATACATTACAATAAGATTGAATGTGGGAGATGTCTATTATGATTGTAGCAGGAATCTTGAGGTTCCAAATTTCACTTCAACGGTGGTGGCAGGTTAGCTTGTCGTTTTCTTGGTGGAGGGGAAATTAGGCAGCAGAAAAGGCATTTGATATCAGTGGCTAGTAAATATTCGTCATCGGAGGCAATTTTGGTCGTGAATGTTGAACATTAGGTGATAATGGGTGCTCATCTAGATTGTTCTACTTCTAGGGCGACGGTATAGGGTGGTTAAGATGGTGGGCATCTGCATCAGTGGCTAACGGACATTGGATGTTGGCTAACATCAAACAAAGATGATATTAGACATTTGAGTTGACAAATGATGATGGTCATCATTGGTCGACGATCAATATTAACACTAGTCAATTGTCGACATTGGGTTGAGTGACAATTAGTGGGTAAAGCATTGTATTCCTTATGAATCTCGGCGGATGATCTCATCTAAATGTGCATAAGATTTTATGTTTTTATTTCTTTGGAGATGAAATTTTTACTATTTTCATCAATTAGTTTGAATATGTCGTTGTTAATGATGTTATGTCTTGCATGTATCTTAGTTGCTCAAAAAACTTATAATTAATTGATCTTGGAATTGTAGCATCCATCTCACTATGAGTTTTTTTTTTGTAACGTGGCAAATTTATGAGGATACTTGATACCCCAAATGGCATTAAGAATTTTTGAAGTATGTTTGTAAGCAATTTATTTAGCCTTATTTGAACATGGTTTAATGCACTAATTTTTTTATTAGAATCATTATGTGAAATTGCAATGTCTTGCTTGTAAATTTGATGAAATGGAGTTTGAATGATCTCATAATTGGTTCTAGAAGTTATTCGTTTAAATAATTTGTTGCTTTGAGATTTAAAAATTGGGTCAAAAGTCATGTTTAATGAGCTTAAATTCATAAAACGGTATTTTGGTTCCTTTTTTCAAAAATTAATGTTTTAAAGTATGAAAATATCCAAATCTTCGAAATTTTATCACAATTTTTTCAACACGGGCAAAATTATGAGGCATGACCTATGGGATATTAACATCGACTTATTTCAAGCCATGGTTAAGACATATTTTGTTGTTTGCGATCTTATATGTAAAGAAGCTTTGAGCTTTATTAGTTGTCTTGAGAGTATTAGAATTAAGGGTGTGAGACAACCACAGTTGTTTAGCTGTGAAGTTACTGTCAGAAGAAGTTGCTGGTATCTAAAATAAAGACTATAATGTTCTTTTAGAGTGCAACTGTAAGTATACAATTTCATAAATAATTCAAACAGAACACCAAAAAGTGTAAAATAGTACACTAAAAGGTAAACTTCACTTAACAATAACAAATAACCCAAAAATTGAAATTAAAACAAGTAATATTATTATAATAATTGTATTCATGTTCAAATGATCAAGCCTGCCGGAGAATTTTCTTTTCAAAATTACTTTCCACACACTATCACTATCTGAAATGGACTTTTTACAGTTCTTAACTCATTTTAAAAAGTCATAATCATCAAATATTTTGTTTCTAGGACTCCTATAAAATCTTTTCCCATAATTCGTTTCTGGTTGTGATGTGTATACTCAGTATTACATACCACAATTGTGGTACATAATTTTAGAGCCGATGAAAATTTTTGAACTCATATTCCTTGATAACATATAATTTAAGCTTAAATTAATGTTAAAATGAGTAAGTAGAAGGAAAAAATACATTAAATCTAAAACTAATATACATTAAATTATTTTTTAATTAAATTAATAATTACAATAAATAATTTAAAACTAGTACTTCATTTATGAATTTTATTTTGAAATTTTGAAATGGTATAAGGGATGGGAGGAAAAGAACGGACCACTGAACATAGATTTTAAATGATTTTAAATTCATATGAAATGAAAGGTAAATGTTTAAGCAAGACAAAATTATCCAAAAATGGTATTGACAGAGGATGTGATGTACTCATGCACAATAAATGAAATGTTAAAGGTGCACCTTTAGGTGTTATTTGAGTTTTTAGGGTGCTTTCAGACACATTTTTTAGGACAACTTCGGTTATAATAGTATTTTTTTTTTTACTTTTAAAAAGTATAAAAATGATAAATACTAAAAATGAAACGTGAATGGATAAATTTAAAGTTTTAATGAAATTATTTGCATTTTTTTAGTCATTCATGCATAGCATAACATAAGAATTTAATGTATATTAGATTATAATTATTAAGTCATACTTACGATTTTAATTATTGATTTTTTTCAAGAAAAAAAAAGTTTTAGGTTGATATGTTTGGTAAGAGAGACTTTGTTTATAAGAGGAGGACTACAGCTGACAGGTACTAGTATGTTGTGTTTATAATTTCTTTTTTGTGCTCTTCCTTTTGGATAGACATATATGGTTGGGTGGATTGAGTTTTTACTTGCAAATATACTTTTACTGCTATATTATTTAAATTTCTTTATTGAACCTGTGAATTATTAGCCGTTATTTTAAATATATTGAAAGTTTTAAAAATGTGGATTGTTATATGTTAATACCATCCAATCGTAGTACCCGTCTTAGTTAATTTTAAGCACCAAACCCGATTATGACAACGTACTCTCTGTGACAAAACATCACTTGAAGCAACAACCGATATCAGAGTCACAAAGAAGTGCATCATCCCAAACTCCGTGCTGACCTCGAAGACGGTATAATGGTCCACTAGCAACTACTCCCAATTGCAACCGCTCCCTACTATGGGGCAACGAATCTCTTTGCTCATAAAAATTGTACCTCGTGAAACTGTGTAACCGATTCTCTCCTGTGAGACAAGTGATTGCACAGGTAAACTTATAGTAGAACATTTCAATAGGGCAAGGCTCTGTGAGTTTTTCCTTTCCGGGGTTTCCACATAAAAAAAAACTTCTTGTTTCTCTAATGGTTATCAACTTTTATCTGAGTTTGTGTTGTATTCTCATACAGTGATGTTAATTCATTACTCTGTCGTTGTGAAACTTTCAGCATCAGCTTCATATGTTTTTTTCTCATTCAACTTCATTTCGCAATCAAGTAGCATCAGAGTTGTTAATGCAAAACCATCAGTTCATGTGGTGCACCTATGAATCACACGAGCAATGGTCAAGAAAAATAAATACATCATTTCCATGAAATTATATGAACTTTTAATTTGTTACATATATCTTTTGCTTTCTCATCCATTTGATTCATGTGTGCTATCATTGATGGCAATGAAGACTTTTGTATGATGGTTTACAAATAAAGAGAAATAACTGAGTGTGATGTTAGATAAAGTGATCGACTGTGTAGCATCACCACAATAAATTGGGCATCACCACAATAAATTGGATTATCATTAGAGAATTAGTTGCTATTTACAAACATCTCGCAAGAGGACACTATTAATAGAAATGAATCAAATTCAACATAAATGTTTTGCATCTCATATATAATATATTTGTACAGAAATAATAAATATAAGTTCACTAATTATATATAATATAAGGAAAAAATTTAATAATTTTCTCATAGATCAACAATATCATAAACCATTAAACTCCCACGTTTTCATACAAATTTATCCATACTGATGATCTACATGTTTCACACTTCGTATGTATTGACAAGGAAACAAGAAGGTATTCCCTTCTCATATGCTCAAATATGAGTTAATACGAATAACATTATAATTCTTAGAATAGAAAGACTTTTCATGTCTTATGATAAATATTAATCTTAATTAAAATGACATTTTTTATGCTTAATACATTCATTTTGTGTTCATAATGCGGCGAGACAAGAAATTGTTTGTAACAATTTTTTCTCTGTTTTGTGTTTCAGACCGCTATCACATCTTTGTTTGAAAAGTTGTTCTCTTATTGTTTTTTTTATAAATTTCAGTGATGAGAAATTTCTTTTTTCAAACCGACTTATTAAAATTAAGTGATTATAAGATGTCTGATTTTAATAAGTACTTGTAATTCTCAAGAAATTATTACATACAGAGTACGTACGCAGCTCTACGTGCGGACTCCAGTAATATATCGCAATGTGTTATATCGGGGCCACCTAAAAAAAATTAAAGTGAAACAGCGAAGGTTATTTGAGAGGATTATTAAGGGGTTATGAGGGATTATTGGGGCTTTAACTCCAATAACACTGCAATAAACTCTCAATAACCCCCCCAATAACCCCCTGATAACTTCCGCGCGGTTCCACTCCAATAACCTCGCGCAGTTCCATTTCAATAACCCCTGCATTAACCTCGACAATAACTCCCCAATAATCCCCTAATAACCTCCGTGATTTCACGTCAATAACCCCACAATAACCTCCACATGACGGCATATTATTGGAGCCTCCAAGCAGAGCTACGTACGTACTCTATGGAATAATTTCTCTTAATTCTCACTGTAGCTTTACAAAAAAATTACTTCACCACAATTTTACGATCGCATTTCAAAAGAAACAGAAGCCACCACCAAAAAACCCCATATTCACATAATACCAAGTAAAACTTTGAAAAATACACATAAAAAATGAAATATATACATCAGAAATCGAATATAATTTCCTAGGAATTTCCATAATTAGTAAAAAATTTGGCATAATGAAACAACAAAAGTAGGCGATGAAATAGCAGTAAATCACATCGAGCAGAGTCCTTTTCTCATCAACCTCTACATAGAAAGTCTACAAAAACTTTACCTGTCGACGAATGCACTTTCAAAAAAAACAGCTTCCAAAACGCCATCACAAAAAGGTGCAGAGTAACAAAAAGGCCGAAGACCAGCAGCATCACATACTATGAAACAGACCGCACTGCTTTCAAAACTGTAGTAGCCTCATTCACTTCACCAACATTACTGATAACAATATGATCATCACTCTCATAAAGCACATCAATCGCTTCAATGCTTTTACTGCTGCTTCCACCAGTCTGTTCCAGGTCTTCTTCTTCCATGGCAGCAGTCTCAGGTTTGGCAGCTAATTCTGCATCAATTGAACTCTGTGATTTCTTCGGAGAGTTGGGCTCCACGTATTCTTTGTTTGCAGAGTTAACTCGCCTAGTTAGAATAAGATAGTGCGCTACTGATTTGTGTCCAAGGTTTCTGACCTGCTTGAAGTATCAAGGAGATGAGATGGTGATGCAGGAAAAACAGGACATTCCCAACCGGCTAAGAATGGCATATAAAAAACTCACTTTTCGGTATAAAGGGCCGGTTGGAGCCCAACCTTTCTTGATTCTACAGAAACTGCAGTTGCAGATTCCACGACAAACAGGGCAGATCCAACTGGGGTTCTTCTGAACTTCTAAAACATTCTCACCATATCTGCATGAACATCATAAATGATTGATGATGTGCACGTAGCCAATAGGCATAGGCATGCTTACAAGAAACGAAGTTGAGTGGATCACAAAAGCAGTAAGAAAAAACTATACTTTTTAAAAGGTTTACATGCATACCACTTCATTCCTATGCATTTACATATCCAACACTTAAAACTTTAATTTTTACATGTATGCCACCTTACCTATGAATCAAAAGGCGTATTTCACCATTTAAAAGTCAAAATAGTGGTATTTTTTAAAGATTTCGGTGTTAGATATGTAAATAAATAAAAATTGGGTGTTATGTATGTAAATGCCCCATTCTTTTGTCTACTTCTTCCAGATTTGTTATCATGCGAATAAATATGGTCTCATTTTCCTGGTCAATTACTACTGTGTAGCCTCTCCATTCAAACTTAAGAAAAATCCTATTAGTGTTAGAGTCATCACATTGCCATATCAATATTATCACGTGACTTAAATTTATAGTATGAATCTCCAAGTATCTATTATTGTAATAATATATTCTCTATATTAATGATATTATTATTTATAGTAGATAAAAAACTATAAAGATTGCAAAGAATATAATATTATCTATAGATCAACTCTACCAACTAAGAAACCGTTACAAGCAGAACAGATAGGATAAGTCATGGAGGACTACTCTTTGGTTTCCTTTTTAATATTCTAAAATGCTAATTCAAAAGAAAACCAACCTCAGAAGCACTAGCGTGCATCTAATTTCATAATCAAACATGAAGAGAGTAAATATTTTATAAATGTCGCACAGCAGAATTCTTTAGGCAACAAAAAAATTTTGAGAAATGGAGAATGCATTCGTTCATTCTTTCATTCGCCCTCTCTCAATCTCCCAACACTAACTAAAACCTACATGAATATCCCACTAAAATTCTGTCGCCTGCCATATAATTTAGTAATACAAGTTTTGTTCTACATAATTCAAGTATATTCCTGCTGGTAAAGCACTATATAAATATAATACTTGTAGCGACAAATTATATTTCAATGGTGATTTTGTAAGCATTTGAAAACAAAATAGGACTAGCAATAAAACCCTTTTTTTTCTTGTTTTCGGATAAATCGCTTTGTCTTAAAGTGCCGAAGATATACATTCGTAAATGCACCTTTCATTCTATTCACTAAAATTCCCATGAACAGTTAAGCAGAACTTAAGTGTTTTTATTCTACTTTATATAAGCAAACAAACTAAATTTTCAAGAAATTTGCAATTAGTATGGAATAAATATTATCAGCCTAATTTACCACCATATTCCGTGGAGACCTACAATTCATGTTAATTTATCTCATTGGATCAAATAAATTTTTCCATTAGCTCAAACAATTCTTTTGCAGAACCAAAATTTTAGCTTAAAAACGATAAATAAAAAAAATAACAGCAAAATTCAGTTAGAAAAAAAAAGCTACATCAGGCAGGAACCAAATTCAAGATTAAATTGAACCACCGGATCAAGTGATAAACACAGAAAAATGTGTGGAATAAGGCTCTCACTTTACTTTTGCAGAAAGAAACTGTATTATTATGTGACACATTAAGATTTCTAGAAACGAAGAAATAAATGTTTCAGCATTTACGAAAAGAAAATAAATCATAAAAGACCGTAGAGAAAACTAACAAATTCATTCATGTAAGTGGTATTGCCTATACATCAAATGACCTATTCACCTAGCTATATTTAGCAACAAAATAAGGGAACAAACCTCATGTACAAACAATCGCCACAAAACTGCCCTTGAACCAAGTTACACTTCATACAACTTGTATGGCGACCAAGAGTTTTCTGCCTGTAGGAAGATTGCACATTCGTCAAATCAATTAAAATTAGTGAGTGTGTGGCCAATAACATATTTTACAAGCATACCTAGAGAACGTCTAAAGAACAAAACTCTGACTAAATATTTAACATCTAAATTGAAACCAGATAGTTATATGCATTGAAAAACTATTACAACACAGAAGTTATAACAGGATAAAAAGTTCAAAATTAACTTATGAAGAACTGATTTATGTTCAATTTACCGGCAAGGATATGCTTTAGAGCATCATAATTACTACAATCGTACAAGGGTGACAGCTATTCATGACCATCAATTCTAATTATATATGGTGAAAAAATAAGTAAAACATTTGAAACAAACATGAAGCCAACGCTAATATATATATATATATATATGTATATATATATATA